TGATGATGAGCAGCCTGTGAGCTTCCATAATGGAATAAAAGCTCCTAATTGTGTTAACTGCTGCTTGCAGGAGATGAGAGAGTCTCTATGTAGGAGCTTCTTTTGCAGAAGCAGCTGGGTACATAAACTCACTTATAGTAACATATGGCAAAAAGATTGCAGAATGCATATGAGAAAGAAAGAATTTTGATTATTTGTTTATTTATTTTCCTTCAAAGGCTCTGTGTCTTGCTCAGTGGTCAGGAAGGATAGCGATGACGGCGTGAATAGCTCAAGGTTTCTTTCTGGTCTCATTCAGTGTAGTGTTCCACGCAGTTTTTGTTGCATGCTGTCTGGAACCCATGCTGGTGGCACAGCTACCCATTTTCTTTGTTAAATTTTCTGTGTTGGGACATCCCAGTGATTTAGAGACAATAGTATGTGTATCCATACGACAGTGTGGGATGAGATTCACATGCTACATTACCTTCAATTTATACATGTAGAAGTCAAAGCGAAGAGATTAATCCAAAATTGTGAAGTTGGTAAAGTAACCTTTGAGTGAATGTCTGGATGTTGGAGAGGGAAAATGTTTTTTAAGTTTTTAACTAGACTGTTTTTTCCCAGGCTCTGTGTATTTTGTAATGTCCAGTTTATTGAACATGCCCGCTGACTGTCCACACACAGCTGTCATCCCAGTCTGTGCTGCATCCAAACCACTACTTCAGTCAACCTCTTTCTCCTCCTTCTGATTGCTCTGTTCTTTTCATTTTGCTTTTAGCAAATCCCCTTGAGTCTTTCTTCCCCTCAGGCCTCTGTTCCATTCTTTTCCCCCTTCTTTGCTGACTTACCTGTTTGATTACAGCTCTCCGAGGCACAGTCTGCTTTTTCGTATTCTTCAGCATGAGGCCAAGTGAAGCTTTTACCTGCTAGAAGGCTTCCAGAACACTGATCTATTTTCTTAAAACCTACCCATTATAAAAACCTCTCCATTAGTTTGATTAAAAAAGGATTTTGTTGACTACTTAAAAATATATGTTTATATAGTACTCTAAATATGCATGTTTATTTTTCAAAGTCCTAAATGTAGCTTCTAGAAAACACTTGTAACAGAATCAGCATGATTAGATAAATACTACAAGTTAACTTAAGAAAAAAGAAAGCAAGTAGTATATGTAGGTGAAATAACTTCTATTTTTTAACTGCAGGTTTGTTAGGTGTTTTGGTGTTTTTTTTTTTTTCTTTTTGTTGTGGTTTATTTGTTTCTTCTGTGGAATTAAAGCTGATTCTGCTTTGAGATTAGAGCTGAGGACCTGCAGACATCACTTTGGGCCTGAAGTATTCTGGGTTTTTTGTTTTTTCTTTTTAATAGCATGGAAGACAGAAAATGGCTGAAAATATAATAAAACATAGGAAATAAATTTTGGAAGAAAAATGGCTGATAGTCTAGAGGACTTTGCTACCATTCTACAAATTCGCCTTTTGTAGTCAGAAATTTTGTGATACCAAATTTCTAAGTACAGACTAAATTCAGTGGGATTTAATGATTTAAAATACTTGCTGTGACTGAGTCAAGATGGTACCATCATAGAAGCACTTTCTGGTTAAAAAAAATGTTTAGAGTTGAAAGGGCTAATATGTTCTGCACTGATGACTTTATTGGCAGAAATAATTGAATTGTGTCTGTTGTGATATAATCGTTCTGGTGGAATCTTGCCATAAATCATAACTTTATAGGGTTCACTTAATTGACAGCATGTGAGAATCTTGTGTGACTTGAAGCACTTAGGGCAACAATTAGTTTTCTTTGGATTTTTTTTCTTAATCTTTCGTTTGCTCAAAACCTGTAGCTGGCTGTGCCAGTTGATGTCATTGAAATTAATGGCCCATAAGATGAACATTTTCTATAAAGGTAGAGCTGCATTACACCTTAAGTACTCTGACTTGCATTTGGAATGTCATATAAAGGAAAACATTTGTCATTAGTAAGTAGTAATGTGTCCATTTGCCTTTGCATTTTTAGCTTTTTCGTGCATTGCTACTTTAATGTCCTCTGCCCTGCAGACATCCTGAGTCTGTTATTCAGTTATAGTACAGTCTGCTGTGGTTACAGGAATGTAATGGTTTTGTTCTCTCTGAATTCATGGAAATGCTAATGAAACCAGATTTGTTCACTTTGGAAGGAATTCTGTCAGAAGCACTAGAGTAGTGTTTTCAGTGGGAGCTGATAAATGCCTTGCTGTAATTAGGGAGGCTGGCATGGACAGGGATCTCACCTGTAAGGGGATGGCCACTTTTAAACATACTGTATGGAGGCTTCATGGAAATGACAGGCTCTGGTCAGTCTTGTTGGAAAGAAGAATCTTAAGATGGAAGATGCTTACCTTCTGGTGCATGTGCCTAGGAAAGATCTTCTTTAGAAAGTCTAACAGTTTTTAAAGGGCAGGATGGTATCCAGGTGGAGATGGTTAATGACACACAGGGTGAATAGAAAGCTGAGGACTTCCATAGGCAATGCAGTTTATGAATGAATTGTTCCCTTAGTCAAAACAAGACATAAGTCTCCTTAGGACCAGTTTAGTGAAAAAGATCTGTTGCAAGAGGAGTTTATGTTTTAGTTGTGTTTATAATGACCATAGCATCATTACCAGAATTAGAATATCAAAGCAAAATATGCACTAAGTATAGAAACAGGCCACTTGCATTTGTTTCTCTCTGCTAAAGAGTTTTCCCAAGCAGCAGAAACCTTTTCAAAACCTGTAAGGATAACATCTGACATTTGCTGGTTGTGTAGAGAAAAACACACAAAAACTATGCTACAACTCGCAGATTTTCATTCTCAGAGGGTCAGTAGTTCCCGAACAACTTAAGGCTATCAATCACTTTAGTGACTCAGCCAGTGGATTACTGGATGCCACCAAATGCCAAGATTTGCAGTTACTTCTAACATCTGTGCTTGGCAAGGAGTTGCATGCTTTTGTTATTATTAAATATTTATATTGTAGTAGTTCTTTGACACTGGCCAGGTCTTAGAAACAAGAGTCTCATTCACTACAAATTCTGAATCATTCCCCAAGCAGAATCTATGTTTGCATTGAATTAAATGAGATTTCCAAAGGAGGATCATGAACGTGGAGTTAATTATAGACTGTATTTAATGCTTATTAAGTGGGCCAAACTAGAGGTTGTATTGTCATTCTTGTTACTTAGTACTCTCTGAATGCTTGGTTTAGTCACCTTAATGACTGCTTTGTGTCTGCCTTGGCAGATTGCAAGTGTAGATTCACTTGTGTTGAGCATATGAAAAGTTCCTTTTTGTGACCAGTGATTTAGGGGCTTCTCCCTCGTGTTGTGCCTCTGTGCCACCTTTCCTTCCTGCTCTGCTGGTGTGTCATTTCCTCAGTGGGATGGAAGCTTGGTGACTGCTTCTGCCCCTCTTTCAAACTCATCCTTCAGAAACTACTTTCAAAGAGACTTCAGCAGGTACACTGGGGGTTTGATGCTTCTGAACAGAGAAATGTCCCCCTTAGGAACTTGGTAGATATTTTCACCTTCTGCCTTGTCAAAACCTTGGATGTCAAAATCTCAGATGGTGACCTGGGAAAAATCTTCCCAGGTTTACCTTTGACTGGGGTAGAACCAGTCCCTCATAAATTTTAACAAATGTTAGGAGATACATATGAGTTTCATGGAAACATTTTGCACTTAAAACAGGGGGTCTTGTAATTTTCTTTCAAGATAGGAATAGGAAAAAAAAGGTTGCTGCCCCTCTCAATTGGAAAACTGGCAATAAGATCACTATGGGCAATAAGATCACTATGGTTACTCACTATTGAGTACACTCAATTAGCAATATGATATATATTTTATATTGGTATATATTTTATATTGTGTACTTTGGAACTCTTTAGGCAGAACTTAACTAAAAGAAAGAATATTTTTTCCAATAGGCTTTGTGTTTTGCAAGACATTTTGTGGTGTTATGTATTTACATACTTTTTCATTATTATAGAATAGATTGGGAAGGTGCAGCAAAGATTTTTTGAATATTCATGATGATTTCAACTTTGTGTTAAAAAGACAAAAAAAATGTGTCATTGCTGGGGGGGGAAGCCAGAAATAACAACCTTCACCCTGCAAACTCAGATGAAACTTGATCTAGACTTTGAAAAGACCATAAAAATGGAGAGAGTTTAGGCTAGGGAAACACACAGA